TGTGTGTGTGTGTGTGTGTGTGTGTGTGTGTGTGTGTGTGTGTGTGTAGCGCGGAGAAACGGAAAGGGAGAGGAGAAAGAACATGCATCGACGAATTTTTCCTTTTTCGCCTGACGACGGCATTTCGAAACGCATTTCCTACACGCGTCATCGCGCCACGAAACGCTGCTCGAAGGTCAAGTTTATACCGATCTGATTTATTCCACCTTGGCGCACCAGGCATCAATGAAAATACGTTATATAATCGATCTCTGTTATCGATCTCTATCCACCGACTCGGACTTCCTTTGACACTGTTATTTTTACCGCTTGCCAGGATCTTCTTGGCGCAATCTTCTTAAATCGACTCGATGATTCAGAGTTTTCCGTGGCCTCGACTAACCAAATTCAAAGTTCCCCTGTGGATCGTCGATACTAAAGGGATTCCCCCTGTTCGGATGTTACAGCTCTGGCGTTCTGCAACTGGTCCGAGGTCCAGAAGAATCGCAGAGAGATGCTGCGAGCGTACACGTTCCCTCGCGCGTTCACCACTCGCTACAAGGAGCTGAACAACATTATCGGTAGCCAGATGGACGCCCTCCTGGACCATCTGGATTCTCTGGCGAACACGAACGTACACACGAAACCGTTGATCCTCCACAGCTGCGCCAACATCTTCATCACCTATCTCTGCTCGAAAAGCTTCCATCTGCAGCACGCTGGATTTCGTAACATGGTCAATAACTTCGACAAAGTGTTCTACGAGGTGAACCAAGGCTACGCAGCCGATTTCATGCCGTTCCTGATGCCCCTCCACCACAGAAACATGGCGAGAATGAACCACTGGGGCCACGAGATCCGCAAGTTCATTGTAGCCAACATCATCTCCGAGAGGGTTAACAAGTGGAACGGTGTGGTACCTGAGAAGGACTATCTAGACTGTCTGGTAAATCACGTCAAGTCCGATGCTGAACCGCAGATGTCCTGGAACACCGCGTTCTTCGTCATCGAGGACATCATCGGAGGACATTCAGCCATTGGGAATCTCTTGGTGAAGGTTCTTGGATTCCTCGCGACACGACCTCACATTCAGAAAGCCGCTCAACAGGAGCTCGACGCTGCAGACATCGCTGGCAACTATGTTGGCTTGGAGAACAGAGGGTCCCTGCCATACGTCGAGGCCATCATCCTCGAGACCATCAGGATAATTGCCAGCCCCATCGTTCCCCACGTGGCTAATCAGGATAGCTCCATTGCTGGTAAGTTTTAGTTTGGTTGGAAAGGAGGCATTGGTCTACTTTTGGGTAGCTCTTGGTAGCTCTGGGTAAAGAGGAATCGTTATATTACGTTCTTTCCTCGACTAACTCTTAAATTTCTTACCTCGGATCTAAATCAAATACCATGCAGACAATTTAAAGAAACACAGATATTTGGAATGTGAAATATGTAGTAGCAGTCTTTGTCCATTGATCATGATAAATGTCAAATATTACCAAGTCGTCTCCACCGAGGAAACTATTCTTAAAATATCAATTAACTCCTAACTTCTCCTTCAGGTTACAGAATCAAGAAGGACACGTTCATCTTCCTGGACAACTACGACCTGAGCATGTCCACGGAGCTGTGGACGTCGCCTAAGGAATTCATGCCAGAAAGGTTCATCCAGAATGGAAGGCTCCTGAAGCCCGAGCATTTCCTGCCGTTCGGTGGGGGACGGAGGTCCTGCATGGGTTACAAGCTGGTCCAATATTTGACCTTCTCGATCCTGGCCACGTTGCTGAAGAATTACGCGATAGTGCCCCTGGAGAAGGAGGATTATAAGATCCCCATAGGGAATCTGGCGCTGCCCGAGAACACCTTCAAGGTGCAGTTCAAGAGACGGTAGGATCGAGACGTAAACGTTGGCCACGAAGAAAGAGTCGAACCGTCGGCTCCTGTTGATTTATCGAAGCTTCGAATGGCGAACGAAACTTGGCCGAGTCGAGACGTGGTGGTTCTCATGAATGAATCGTTTCGGACATCTTCGTCGAGGGTGCTTGGCGGGGATTTGGGACGACGAAGGATCAGACGAAGATAGTTTCGTCGCGTTCTAGATGAAGCTTTAGGAGAAGGTCGATCGGACCTTCGTCGGCAACGAAGAGCTTTACTGACATTACTAGGTGTTTAAGCTAGGAAATTGTTGATCGTCCCTCGACGCGTGAACTTGACTCCGAACGAATCGAAGACGATCAGCCGCGATTACAGGAGAGAAGACTTGGACTGAACAGATGACGACTGACTACGCGAGACGCTGCGACAGAATGCCGTCATCTTAGCGACCGCTTTAGGTAAACCGGGATTTGACGATCGTCTCTTCCGTCTCGTCGAGAGGTAGATCGATAGTTGGTATCAGGCTGGACCTTCGATTTAACGTTTTCAAGGGAACATTGGTAGAACGTCTGTCGAGGAATAAAAATAGAATTAAAGTATTAAGTTGCTATAAAATTGATAATAATAGACATTAAACGTGCGTAGCAGTAGTATACGATATATCCAGTGGATATCCATTATAAATCAAGAGTCGTTATCTCGAAGGAAAACGATGAATCGACCGGTTGATTCACGACGGCTATCGAGATCCACGGATCAAAAATCGTCGAGACGTGCCGCTGCAAAAATCCTCTGTTGATCCCAGCGATCACGTACCTACTATCGTCCGATAGCACCTACTCGGAAAGACGAGACGCGAGAACGTGAGCGGCAAACTCGGACAAACCCGCGACGATTTTGCTCGCGTTGATCGTTCAATCGCGAGAAATTAGGGAAAATGGATGCCTCGCGCCTCTTACGGGGCGAGTAAGCGTGTTTCCGACGTCCGTAATTTTCAGGAACGTTGACGATGTTCCGATTATTCGACCAGCATCGGTGTTGGTGTTGATCCAACACTCTCCTTGCAAAAATGGGCAAAATTTGATCTAAATCACAGGTATTCGGTAGTATCGACGCAATTGGTCCTCTTTTGGACTCCTTTGAAAGTTTCGCCATTCATATTTCCACTGTTATCGATATTCGAGTCTAATTTTTTCTAGGTACGTTTACAAGGATTTTATTTTGCATAAAGATCCGTAGTCTAGTTATTAAATAAGGGTTTCAGTATTTAACATTGGAAATTATTGGATAATACGGTAGAGCATTCCACAATTCCATCTAGACAGAATTTTGCCTATCTCTGGTCTCTCAAGTTATACGACATTATCGATGACAAGAGTCACTCGATTACTCGTTGAATCGTGTTTGCTTCGGAATCGTGACGAGTTGACCGTGTCTCTTGTTGTTCGACACTTTATTATATCTAATTTTCACGTAAGTTTTAGGGAAAAGCGAAGACCAAAGTTAAACGAATTTGTTGGGAATTAAGTTATGTTAAAGTCAACTAGTCACGGTTCTGTTCGGATTTTTCCTGTGTTGGATCGACGATCGATCGAGACATCAAGATAAGACAATTTTAACGAACAAGTCACATGGCAATGTGCAATGAAATAATTTTAGATATTTGAGGCTCTCACAACCAAGTTGGTATAGTTGATATTAAAATCGTGTCTTTTAGGCAAGACACTTGGACCTAGCTTCTTCAGGGGTCAAACGATACACTGATAGTGGCTTATTTTCATCGATATCTCAGGTGGCAAGACATAATTCTTTTGTTTATTATTCAGTCAAATAATCGTCACAACTTTTATTGATAATCAGTGAACAGTGCCATGAGCACAGGTAACTTAAAGTGACCCAAGGTACATAATCCACGCCAATATCGGTGTGTCATTTGACTCCTGAAGAAGCTATCTGCAATCTTACCTAAACGACACAACTTACACTTGAAAGCCTCAGTTAATATCAATTAATAGAATAATATTGTTTATCTCGTTTCTCGACGCCAACCCAAACGTTCATTTCTTTCCTTCTGTGTACGCCTTCTACCCTATTCTCTCCACTTTTTCTTTCAATTTCTACGCCCTCTGTTTCTCCATCCCTTTCGTTCCCCGTTTTCCTAGTACAAATTAACGATCGTCCACCTTCGGCATCGTCGCGCTGAGAAAAAATTATAAAAATTGTACACGATGGGGCGAAATGGGTCACCGTAAGGGACGAGAAATGATCGAGGACGAAAGAATTCGCGTGAGACGAGAAATGGATTTTACTGTAATAATCGATTATTACACGACTGAACGGCTTTTCTCAAGGAGAGAAGTCGTCTTTTTCGCGGGCCACCCTCGCGGATGATAATTTATTTCTGCGATCGAGCATCGATTTTAATTATTGCGTTATTATTATATTATTATATATTATTATTATTATTATTATTATTATTATTATTATTATTATTATTATTATTATTATTATATTATTATTATATTATTATCGCTTTCTGCTATTATCATCACTATTATCAATAGTTAGAGGTATCGTCCTCTTTCTATTTTTTTTTTTTTTTTTGTATATCATCACGTTCTCCATTCCCCGTTTCACGCTTCCACATCCGTACGTTATTATTATGTGTTTGTTATTTAATTATCGCGATTGTTACGACATTTGTTAATTTATTATTTAAGATTTTAATAATAAAAGTGAACATTGAAATTCGTTTCACCGATTTATTATCTTTTGTACAGTTTTCGAGAGCTTTGTTGTTTTATTATGTATTTTGTATTATTGTATTGCATTTTATTATATAATATTGAATATTGCAAAGAAACAATTAGTACAGCATAATATTTATATGAACCAACAGCAACTATAAGAAACACCACAAGATAATTAATGAAAGATTACATCAATTTTCGATTTTATTTCCTATGGAAATTTCCGATCGTAACAATCAATCCAGTCTCTTATCATTCACTCGCCTTGTTATCAAATACATTTCGTTAGAACTATGTGTCTACCTTATAAATACAAGTAATTCACAATTGTGCAAATGATAACATCATCAGTTTATTCTCAATCAAATTTGACAAGAAAAGTCAATCAATCTACTGTACTAATTCTGAAATTACAGAGCGAACCATTTCTTGTTTTCCACTTCAATGTTAAGCAATTTGTTTTTAAATGAAATAATTAAACACACATCTCAGTCGTTTATAATAATTTATTTGAAAATTATCGATCTCACAAAACATTTGAAGAGTGACATGATAAACGATTATTTCTTTTCGGAATATTGAATACCTTTTCGATTGTATAAAAATGTTTCGTCCGACTTGTTGTAACCTAGTCGAAGTTTATATTAAAAGTACGTGAACACAGACGGCAGATAATCGTTGCTTAGCTTGGTAATCTCACTTATTGTTAGTAACTTGTTAAATAAAAAAGCTGCATATACATAAGGGAACACGTTTCTTAATCGAAAAGTAGCTAACATGATTATTTATCATCCAATAGAATACTAGACTAGTTGAAATGCAAATTCATTTCTTCGCTATTCTTAAAAAACAGATTCGAAAAATGCTTAACTACATCGTTCGTTAGTTTATAAACCTCAAGCATTTTTAGACAGTATCTACAACCGTATATATTAAACTACATTTAAAAATTTCCTTAGTACATCAATTTTAAACGTTCTTGAACAGTATTTACAGTTTCCTTTCGTTTTTCAGGTTCAAATCTTACTTCAGTTAGCTGGCAAGATTTTAGAACGAGATACAATAGTTCTATGTATCCCCGACAGGAATTCTTTTTTAATGTTTCCAATTTTTTATTTAAAACTAGGCATCAGTTTAAAACAAAAAAGCCGGAACATTAAATAAAGAGTACCAAACGAGATCCACATGGAACGCTGATTTGCGATTAAAAGTACAAGTACGACACGCCATCGAATCTGAGAAAAGCGACGTCATTCTGAAGCAACAGCCTCGACCTCTCGCACACACTGATATCAACAAACAATTTTTCACGTTCCCCCAACTGGAGTTAATCCTCAAGGAAGTCTACGGTTCCGAGGTAACGTCTTTGAGGTCCATCATTCTCTCCTTCTCTTGTAGATCGACCAGACATTTCTTCCGCGAGAACATTTCCTCGATCTCCGTCAGCGTCTTGCCTTTGGTTTCAGGCAAGAAGAACACCACGAACAACGTGCCCGCCAACGACAACACCGTGAAGAAGATAAACACACCGTGCCTGCCCATCGCGGCCTCCATGTCGGGGTACGTCTTGACGGTGACCGAGCTGAAGATGTATCCCACGCAGGTGGTCAGTCCTGTCAGCACTTCCTTGACTTTGGCAGGGTACACTTCGCCCACCATGGCGAAAGGAACCACCAGGAAGCCCAAGGTACTCGAGAAAATGTATACTAATACACAGACCACGGGTATCACGCCGCCGTCCTTGATGACATAGCCTCTGTCCTCCATCACCAGGTAGACAGACAGTATCCCCATGAAGATCGTCATCCCAGATCCAGAAACTATCGAGGGTATTCGTCGACCGAACTTTCCTGACAGGCAGGCCACCAGCACGCTGCCCACCAACCTGGTGAACCCTATCAGGACCGCCCCTAGGTAAGGGTCTATCGTGATACCGGCGCTACGAATAATGTCCACCGCGTAATAGACCACCACGAATATTCCAGAAAACTGCTGGAAGAAGAAGTAAGCGAGCATGATGCCGAACGGCATCAAGGCGTTCCTCTTCAGCAGATGCTTCAGCAGGTTCTGCTTCTTCTTCTGCGGCCGTTGTCGCAGTTCTTGCAGCAGCTCCGACGTGGGGGATGTATTTTTTGGAATGCCTCGGAATCTCTTCAGGGACTCCAGTGCCTGGTCTAGACGACCTCGGTCCCGCAACCAGATCGGGGTTTCTGGGACGACGGCCAAGGTTAGCGCGCCCGAGACCAACGGAAACAAGGCGCACATCAGAGCCACCAATCGCCAGTTGTCCTTTGGAACAGAAAAATATTGGTGAGTACTCGGATAATCGTTGAATCTTGTTTTATTTATGCGGAGTGTTTACCCATTGATGGTTACGACGAATCTAACAATTTTGACGACTGTGACAAGTATCGAATCGAAAATCTTTTATAAACACTCATTTGTCATTTGTCTCGTGTTGAGAGCATGTCTCACTAGTCGCAATTTAACAACCTCTGTACGAGTAAGTCACGTTCGATCTGAATCGAGTTGAACTATAGGTTTATTCTCGGTGAAAATGCAAAATAATCTGGTATCTGGTTCATTTCAGCCATACTTTCAAATCGTCACGTGTCACAATCGTTTCGAATCTTTGTTTTCTCGACCCTTACCTTAAACAGGTAGCCGAAAATGTAAACAATGAGGACTCCGATGGCAATGGCCACGCTGGTCCATGTAACCATCGTGGCGCGCCATTTAGGAGAGGCAACTTCCGCGCTGTAGACAGTCGCTGGGACCGAGGCCGAACCGGTCGCAATTCCGGATATAATTCTACCCACGAGGATCTGTTGGTACGACCCAGACGTGTATATGACGATCCAGCCCGCCACGGAAACGATGGACGTTATCAGCAAGCTCAGTTTTCTTCCGCGTCTCATGGTGTAGCTGGAGAGAATGCAGCCAAACGGAATCCCCAACGCTGTCACCGTGGCTGTGGATCAAATGGAACATTGGTAATTTGTGAAATTTTCCTTTCATCGATCACGAGCAACTTTGACCAAAATAATTGAAATTCAGTCCAAATTCTTCACGAGTTTAAACTACATTTATTTTATTCCAAATAAAAATGAAGTAAATTAATTTCAAATTTTCGTGAGACTAAAGTACAAATTTATTTATTTTATTTGAAAAATGTCTCAATGCCTATGTATTAATTACAACATATATTATAATTAGAGTCGTTTTGTTACATGTATGTACAGTGTACCTTTGTATTTTCAATTATTTTGAACAAAGCTCAGCCACAAATTTTTCCATGTTTACGTCCTTGGATACATTTGCATGAAATTAATGATAAGAATAGTAAAAATAGTATTGACCTATCCAATTTGCTTGAACCTTGTCAATTTTGATGTCGCTCGTGGGTGCCATTAATGGATCCAGTGCCACAGCACTATAGCCGAAGGCCATGGCAGGCCCCAGAACAGAGGAATTCGCACACAATGCCATGATTATCTGAAAGAAAGTAATCATCAATTCTTTTCCCAAAGTTAGTATCAATCAGTTTTCTCTTGTTACTAAATTATACAATTTCTCTGATTCTAACGAACAATCGTAACCTGAACAATATTTTCATAAGTATCTCGTAATTCTAGACTTTGTTAGTTTAATGAAATATCCATAGAAATTGAACAAACATTTCTATATCGTTCTTATGTTCTCAAATCTTGCCAGGACTATGTATTAATTTCTCCGTGACTCAACATTTCAGAAATTTTGCATTAGCATTTTGTTGTTTTTAAATATTACACTTGAACGAGTCAATCATTCGATTAATCTTCTTCACAGACTGAGATAATTCGATATCTCATAATTGACGATGACCTGCTAGAGGTCGGAGAACAGAAACAATATTATATTTCATAAGCTCTGTGATATATTTATGATACGATACAAGATGTGCTCGGTTGTTAGAAATAATAACTAAAATTATTCGTAGTCCTCCTACACACAAAATTTATTAGAATATTTCTAAAATTATGATTTTCACCAATGTCGAAGATAACGAATATTTTTCTGAAAAGTAATAATAAGAAAATGTATGGAAGTGAGAAATTAAATCTTATATTTCATCATACACAGACAAACAAAATGTTTAGTTTTATTATTCTTTAAACTTTGCAATATGACGTTTAATTTTTCATGTTTAAGTTTGTTAAATAATGAGTAATAAATAAAGTAGTAGAAGAAAGGAGGAGAAAAAAGAGAGTGAAAAGATAATCTATAGGAAGTTTTACGATGAACCAAGTATTATTGCGTTGGAGTCTGAATTGATTAGATCAATTTTAAACGATCGGAAACGAAAAAATTTTACGCTACGTATAAGCTTCCGGTAATAATAAATTAAACTGATTAAAATCGACATACAAGTGCTGCTGATAAAAAGCAATAATTACCCTAGACAATTAAATCCAATCAGCAAGGACAAAAACATCATGAATATTAAAACAATTCAAAAATGGGTGTGTATCCATAATTGATTCCGGCCATAAAAAGAAATGTAACAAGGAAAACATCGTATTGGGATTTATTCGTGAAGTTTATTTGATCGATTACTTGAATGTTTATTTATTTTTTCAATCCTTATAATACGTCTTTAAAAAACCAAAGTTTAAGTCTTCTGTGATAAATAAAATTATTTTAGTGGTAAAATTGAAGAAAATTAAATTTCCTACTTACAAAAGTCGAGAATGTAATATGATTTACTCGTAAAATACGTTTGACAAGCGATACGATTTTTATTGGAATTTTTAATTGAAATCAAAGAGTGCAAGTGCTCTCTCAATTCGTTATGTCTAATTTATGTCTGCCAGAGAGCCTTGAATGAACAATATTTTTCTGAATTATACGTGCGTCGCACAATTCTCATGTTATATAAAAACGCGCGGTCTCATAACTGTCTCTCGCAATCGAACCACTCAACAGTCATCCCTAAGCCCATAATCATCGTAATTATAAATTCTAATTAACAAGCGCTGCGAAGGTGGTCGCCGATTGTCAGCAAAAGCAAACGATTGACCGCGATTAGCAAGCAGCAATTATGTTAAACTTGAATCATTGTATCGAGTGGCAATCAATTAACATTTCAGATGTGATAATTCAACCGAGATAACGCTTGGAACGTTGTTTCGATGATTAAGAGTGAAAAAACCGATAAGCCTCGAGATAAAATGAAATTGGACACCATAGATAGATTAACAGTTTTTTTTTTTACGATTTCAGTCAAGTAACTTTATTTCGAATAATTAATGAGAGTCAAGTTTCCTCGTTGCGATGTCAACTTTGATTGACAATTACATAACTTCTATGAACTTATTGATTTTATTCTTAATGAATAAAATGAAAATTTTAGTAAAATTTAGTAACATTATTTAAATAATAAGATTAAATAAACATGTATTTCTATCAATACATTGACAAAAGAGGTTTCATTTAAGGAGTTAGAATTCTAATATACTGCAAACATCTGCAAAAAAGTTCAGTCGGACAAAGATGGAGACAACTTGATTTCGAATTGATTAATATAAAATCGTACATAGCATAGTTAGATTTTTATTTTGAAAGAGTATTTATATTTTGTTACGTTTCAGTCCCTTTAGTAAATCTTTAAAAAAAAAGCCAAGTCCAACGGAAAAGATTTTTTCGTTGGTAAATTACTAGGGTAGATAATATTTAAATGGTCGAGCACAGAAATAAAAGCAAGTCAATCGAAGGGATTTTTTCCTCGAACAACCCTGCGATCGTTCGACTTCGCTTATGACCAATATCGAAACCGGTTTGGGAAGGATCACCGAGAAGACGAGCAAGACACTCGGGGAATAATTAAATTAAGCCTTGAAGTGTCACAGTAAGGTTTACGTAAAGCTGCGTTAAGCGTTTGATAATATCGTGGCATTGCGTGTTACGCAAATCTTACCGATAAACTCTTGCGTACTTCTATCTGCAATTTGTGTTACATCTCCTTAAACGCTCGCTGCAAACAAACGTCTGCAGAGTAGACAGTTTACAATGATGGATATGCAAAAGGGATCACTGGAAGTTAGTGTCACCAGTCTATTAGTTTAAAAGTTCCGATTCATTGAATTCGATTTCAACATTTATTTGCCACTTCTCTAAGTGTTGGAATAAACAGTTTGCAATGACTATGCAATCAACTTTAACGATGTACCAATTTTAACCAAATTTATTCATCACTTCCATAAACGCCATCAAATTTGTTCTGTCTATACAAAGTATCCAGCAAACACTTTGCAACGATATCTACGCGAATAGAGTCTCCGGAGATCTGTAACTTTTCTTAAAAAAGAAAAAAATTGAACAATTGATACCGCGCATTGTAGACAAACGAATTTGAATTTCTAAATGACATATTTTTCAGTTTCATAAATGTCTCAAGGATTGAAGCTGTTATGCAAATTGCCACTATCTCGTTACGGAGGTAAAAGAAAACAAAAATTCTGCGCTTGTAGCGGCAAGAATTAAACATCCCATATAATTTATTACGCAGATAACAGCCCAGCCATCGGAATTTTTTTTACGTAAGCGAAGACAGGTTGGTCCTCCGCGTCTATGTTTCATGTCGCTGGCGATCGTAACTCGATCTTAGGTAAGGTTTAATAGAATTTATTCCTCAGTCTTGGAAAAATGTGCGGGGAATCGAGCCTGTGTTCATTCTACTCAGAATTTTCGAATTCTTTAGTCCGTAGGACGAGATTCGTCGTGCTTTAAGAGTCTTCGCATTCTCCCAATGGACTGTACGACAGTCAATAATAACTATTATTATTTAGTTAGTGTGCTCGTGTATTAGAATGCTTTACGATGTTTAGGAACACCAGTTGCAGAAATGACTAGTGGGTGTGCTAATTATAGTTTCTTTCTTACAAAGTATCAAGAGTCGACGAAAACAATGCTTACCTGATAAGTAACACCTTTCTTCTCCCGCCTCTTCGCCTCGTCCACGTCGGGTTCCATCTGAAAACAGAGGTTTCGATGATCTATGACGATCGAGGCAACGAAACTGCTTCGTTGGTTATTGGTACAATCGTATTTTTACGATAATACTTGGGCAAGTAACTCTGAACAGGAACTGTTTGCTTTCCTCAACGTTGAAAAATGGCGAGCGATAATTAAAAATCGCGATAACGCGATTATTCCTTAATCCATTGTCAATCGATATTGTAAAGTTACAATTACATACATGTTTTATCTTTGGGGTAAAATTACTATGTTCTTTGAGGGAATCTAGGAGGGAAAATCATAAAGAATTAGTTTTCTTGTAAATAAAAAAGTAGTTTCGATTAGATTTCGTTTTAGCGGAATAATTCCAGTAGGTCTGTTGAAAAGGCTTCGTTAAAAATTCCGTGGTTCGTTTTTATTAAAAAGTTATTATACTTTAAATAAGGTATGTGAATTAATTATCAATAGTTCCCTTACTGGAGAATTAGAATAGCTAAAAACTCGAGTCACTTGTTCTACTTTTATCTAGCAAATCTCGAAGGTTTCTAAGCGCGATGCCTGGAAAATTTACACGTCGCGTCGGAACCACGGAAACGATCTATAATAATTGAAACGTAGAGCGATAAGCATCGTTACACGGAAATCTACTCGAGGAGATTAAAAATATTCGATAAATCAACAAGCAATTAAGATTCACGAAACGCACAATTCTCAAGGAATATTTAACTGACGAGTTACCTTAGCTGTTGATTGCTTGTCCACGTTCCCGTTCGAGTTATTCATCCCATTGGCGAGACTCGCTCTAATCCTCGGGTGGACTTTTCACGAACGCTGCGTCGAGACGTAAAATATTCCAAAAATTTCGTATCGCTAGACGCGTTAGATCGCCTCTTATCGCGATAACTTATTATTTTATCTCGATTCAACGACGCTTAATCCTTTAATTCGATTCTTTACAGGTAGTCAACGGCGTAGTGTCCTTTTTCTTTGTTTCTTTTTCTGATAATGACTTGTTCAAATATAATCCCACGCCGAGATATCGTATCGTGCAACTGAATGCGTTAAATCAAAAATTTATCTGCAGTCATTCTTTGCGTTTGAACGATTAACGTTCAGTTTTATTTCGTTCGAACCGACACGTGTCTCGATCGATTAGTGCGCGTCGATACAATCTGTGATTCCACATAAATCGATCGATAAATCTAGAAATCTCGCGGTTCTAGTCAAAGTTGAGATTTCAAAGACTCGCTTCTGTTTTAAGTGGACTTTATAGACAGGAAGGGATAGATGGGAAGATTGGCATGAGTCAAATGTCTGTTAATCGATGTAACCTTTGTGTCTCTTTGAAAGATCAATTATCAATCAAAGGATCCAACAATTTTGATAGAATTTTAGTCTGTCAACTAATGTAACCTCTGCGTTATCACTGAAAGATCAATCTTCTATCGATCGATCGATCCCAGAATTCGAGTAGAATTTTAGGCTTCAAGCCTCTAATTCCTCCCACAAAAAAATGTCTAATAGACCGACGAATAACGATATCAGCCAAAAGTCCCCGAAGTGAACTAACAAAACTTGTTTCCAAAGCAGCCAATCAGTCTTCCTGGAATCATAGAAAATTCTGCTATCAGATTCCCCGAGCACATTCCATGCATTCAGTTCCCCTGTGTCCAAAGCAAGATTCATTACAACCGAGTTTCCCTTCAAACCGATCTGCCAGATATTTTCTCAATAAAACGAACCATTATGGATCAATTATTCAATTGATCAGCCACTTTTCCTCTAGTCTCTGTTTTCCACGCTCAGGTAATCGATACCCTTCGACTCTACTCTGATTACAAAGTTCCACCACGTTTCGATACGAAATGTTTTTTGCACGTTATCCAAGCTTTCCAAGTTGTAGAGTCAGTCTACGACCTCCAAAGCGGAAGCATCAATCGTGTTCGGTCACCCAGTCCACTTAACCCCACGAGAATTGGCGTCCAGGACTCTTCCTTTCTTCGAGGAATCCACACGATAAAAGTCAACGTTCAGAGCTATCCGCGACGCCGACGGTCGAATTTCCCTCCAACGTAACACGAACTGGAACTTCCTTTCACTGGCGAGCCTCAGTCTTATCCTTCAATTTCCCAACGATTTCCCACAACTCCACTTAAACTCACTCACTACTAATCGTCTCGTTAAAAAAATCTTTTTCCCAGTCCTTTTAAAGACTTGAAAAGTAATTTCTCGAGCGCTGAGACCAATGCCAGTCCTCGTTAAATTTTCTTCGAGTTCCCTTCGGGATTTGGTGGTTTGAGAGAGAGAGAGAGAGAGAGCGCCGATTTTCCAAGATGCAGCTCGACGAGAGAGACTCGAGGTTGCAGCCCGTAGAACTGCCACTCGAAGACTCGTTACTCACCAGATTGCAAGTCCGGTTTTATCTGGCACTGGCGGCCGATCGTCGGGGACCATTCACATCCGCGGTCGCGTCGCGTTATCGAGCGTCTGTCGACGGCCGATCGACGTGAAATACATATATCGTCGCGCGAACCGCGAATTCCAGCAGATAAAGAAGACCGGTCGCGTGAGCGAATCCGTTCAGTCACGGATTACGTTCCGCGCGGAAACGTTCAGAGGGTGGCGCGCGGCCGACATTGATGAAATTAGGTGAATGACTCCGGCTGTTTCCCCCAGTGCACGGGAACATGAACAATGAACGCTTCCAAGTGGTGAGTTGTTGAACACAATGCTCATTTGGTTTCGCTTGGGAATTCTTCGCGATCAACGAATCGCGTAGAACAGTATTTTTTGCCGGACAGTTGGAAGACGCTCTAATACTCCCATGATTCATTATTAAACGGAAGCGGCGATGTTGTCTCAGCGACGGATTACTATACCGGATCGAACAGGCCTTGTATTTGGTGTCATAGGTCGATCTCGTCGTTGTCGGCGTCTTTTCGAGTATCAGAGGCCGATCTGTGACACGTGCGCGTTGGATTAAAGCGGATCAATACGATCGATGGATTAATCATCCCTTAAATCATCTCTTTTCTTAGTTACATTCGCGCAAGGGGATCGAATTATTTCAAACGTCACCTGACGAAACTTCCTGCATGATTCATTTTTAATCGAACATTTTGTTATCGAGGAAGCTGGGGATTCTCGGGGTATTTAAGAGCTATAAATCGTTAAATAAGAGGATTGTTGGAGAAAAAGTACCCCCCATCAAGTATTATGAACAGTAAGCCTCGATAGTGTTTTTATGCGCGGTGGCTTGAAAATGATAACTAAACTGCGGATATATATGGGAATTCGTGTTTTCGTATGCATATTATAAGAAATGTATATTATAGAAGAGAACTTTCCATACTAGTATGCGTTAAACTAGGCTGACAATTAACTTTTCCATACTGTCGCTAGATATATCGTAAGCCTTGTCTGTAGCTAACAATTGAGCATTGAAAGTAAACAACCAACAACACAGTTAATAAATTCCAAGAGATAAACGCAAGACATCGTTAAGTGTTAATTTACACACGCTCGAGCTATATGTGATCTTTGTCAAATATTGCAAATAGGTCACAATTGTAAATTACACGAAAAGAAGCACGTATCGCTATGTAACCGTAAAGACTAAAGATCACGAAGAACTTTCAACAGGGTGGTTAATCTGCATGGTACAGCAAAGAATTTAAGCTCCAGACCAATTGAAGCGAGTTGCGAGAGTAAACAAATAAAGCAAGCTAAACGAGGTATAAATTAAAATGACTCCCGTCGGGGAGTCGCTTGCTTTCAGCCACTTGTCCAGTCGTCCAAGTACAAGAGGTTAGAGGATACAGGACAAGGAACATGAAATAGGTACAACAAATAAGAAAATAGGCAATAGGTAACATTAACAGGGTAGCTGTGAAAGAGGTGTGAATGATGACTAGTAGAAAGAATAGGTAATGGAGCAAGTACCTATGAAGAAGTAAGCATGGAAGTGAGTGTGGAATAAGGAATAGTGTACAGGGAATAGACTACACAAGCACAAAGGGTTAAACAGATATAGAATAAAGATTAGACGAATCATAATGCCTCGATTATGCAGAGACACGGTGCAGCTTTCATTTGTGTTTCTTTCTTGGCGATAGCGGAGCACGTTGACGATGCGAAGGAACATCGACACGCCGAACACTGACCTCCCTCTACTACTTCGGTGTGTCCTTGGCCTTGAAACGAAAACGTGTTTCGGGAGATGAAATCCAATCGCACAGGTGGAACGATAATTGGTTGGCCGTCATAGAGAAAACGAAAGCCTTCCCTTTACTTTCGCTCCGTTACGGAATCGGAGCAGACAAGAGCCAACACACGACATAAAGTCGAGCATTCTTTACTCCCCTTCTGTCTCCATATACTCGTGTGTATCTTGTGTGTGCGGCTGTGTATGCACGGTTCAACATAATATTGGGCTAAACCAAAAGTTTTCTTCCCATTTTCTCCCTTCTTCTTGTCTTCTTCTTCAAGAAATGTTTATCGAATAAAATCATTTAAGTCCTACGATCAAACTGCAGATGTTTATGCACTTATGACTAATTGAAATATGGGTAAATCTATGACAATCTGCATAAATAAAGAAATATATAAAACATCAATGATAATATATACATGTTATTCCATTTAAAAAAAAAGACCTTCGTTTAAGTTTCAATCCTTTTCCTACATCTGTGAAAATATGAATTTGCGTAAATCTCCGCAGTCTAGTAATAATAATATCCTGTCATTTTTTCGCAAAAAACAAAGCGATATGGTAACAGTACGCTTGTATCCTTGATATTTTTGCACGCACTATGCGTTTTATAATCTGCGTCACGTGATATACATTCGTTGCTGAATGACTATTAATCGCGGTATAAGCGAAATTTTGGAAAAAGTGTATGCAAACAAATTTCTTCTTTAAAAAGGTACTTTTATTGTTTATAAAGTTTTAAGACCGAAATTGCAAAATCACGGCCAACAGTGACATGCGTCAAGGTATAAGGAATATTTTCAGAAAAGAATTATTAGAAAATTTGCTTCTTCGCTTCAAACAAACGGCGAAGCTACTTACATGGAAAACTCACGTTACAACCGAACTAACAAAATAGCTAGAATTGGTTGCTGCATAACAGAGGCACCTTTACTCCTACGAGATGGCAACCAAACCGACAAGTCGACCGGTATAGGTTACCGTGTAACAGGGCTACCTCTGCGCCAAGAATTGGCAACCGACCCGACAAACAGGCTAGTATCGGTTGCTGTCATACCAGGAGCACCTCTGCGCCAACGATGTAGCAACCGGGCCTACAAACTGGCTAACAATCGGTTGATATCTAAAAGGGGTATACTCGCGACTACTTGACGACAAACAACATTTCGTTCACTTTTCGTTCAGTCCGAGTTAGTCACCACTGACTGACACTAACTTTTCGTTCACATTTCGACACTCCTAACAACACTTAGCACATTCTAACACCTTTTAACATCTCTAAAATGTACCAGGAAGTAAAGGGAGATATACCAGGAAATGACGGGAAGTTAATGAAAAATGCACCATAGTTTTTAAAGAGAAAGTAATACGTATATTGTAAGCATTGGTAGATCACAAAAAGTAACAAACTATAACAAAGATTTGATATTCAACGTGTTGAAATTCTAAAATTTCATTTTCAAAATTCCCGCTTTAACTTGGCAACATATATCGTAGTCTGTGCGCACTAGCGCCGCGAGTAGACGAAATTTTGATCACAGTTTTCTAGTAACTTTTGTATGGAGTTGGATCTCCTTATACAGTTTTCATGATTCGTACGTTCGTGGTTCTAATTGACTCGTGCACAACGCTACAGTTTGTGTATTCCTGGGTAAACTTGTGTCAGAAGCTAGAAGGCAGCCATAAGGCATAATACTCGAGAATTAAACGGAGGACTATTTTAACATTTACAGTACAATACCCTAACGTGGATACAACTTACGCAGGGCACCATTGGTACCATCAAATTAATTTGTTTAGAGCCTGTTCTGATCTTACACAGGGACACAAAATCGTAGGTTTTGACAAGAGTTTTGTCACCTCTTACCACGTTTATTACAGTTTATAACCATTTGTTTGGCATCGTAAAATTATTATTGATCGTGATGATCATTTTCGATCCCAATAAATTAAATAAGGAATAAATTTAGATTCATTTAAGCTTATTAGATTGGTCAAGTTTATTTAACTTTGGAGAAATGGCGGATGATGATTTTGATGGAGACGAGTGAGTAACGTCTTTTGTTTATCGTAAATATTAAAAATATAAGTAGTTTCGTTAGACGAAATGTTTATTTATTTATTTTGTAATAAAAATTCAATTAAAGTATATTGTAAATATATATCTGTAATTTCAACAATGTATGTTTAAAAGTTTTACAAATTATACTGAATAAAATATTACAAATCGTATGAGGACTGTATCACTGATACTATAATATTTAAAGGGTTGCAGATGATTTTGATGATGTTGATGACGACGATAATATAGAATTAGAACCTCAGGAAGAGGATGGAGAGAATATAGAATTGTTAGCAGCTGGCGAAGCTACTGGTGGTGTGCAAAGATCAAAAAGGATTACAACTAGATACATGACAAAGTTAGTAACTTGGAATTCTATTTAAAATTACATGTTTACCTATAGTTTAGTATTAATGATTTTATTCAAATATTATAGCTAATATAAATAAGAGAAGCTTTACGTTAAGTAGCATGTATAGAAATGAAATATTATATTTAAATTATACATTTACAGATATGAACGAGCAAGAGTTTTAGGAACAAGAGCATTACAAATAGCCATGTGTGCACCGGTAATGGTAGAATTAGAGGGAGAAACAGATCCCTTGCAAATTGCAATGAAAGAATTGAAGCAAAGGAAAATTCCGATTGTTATCAGACGCTATTTGCCTGACAATAGTTATGAAGATTGGGGCATAGACGAATTAATTATAATAGATCATTAAACTATAATTGATACTGTATATTCAAATCAACTTTCTAAAATAATTTAAGAAGTGGTGGAATTTATTGTATCAATAGTGTTTTAATTTCTGTATGTTAAGTACTTGTATAAAAAAAAAAAATAAATAGTAAACGTGGATTTTGTATAACTCATTTTAGTGAAAATATATAAAAATAAATGGACTATAGGGAAAAGGTTCGGGAATTTTATCTAGTTACAAAAATGCAACTGGTGACTAAGTTATTAGAGGTTAGAAAACATCAGATTTAAATCCAGCTGATTTGTGATGAAATTCGTCCTAAAAATTATGAAACGTTCATGTATACGTTTTAAAACATAATAAAACGAGTTCACAGCACGCAAATGTATGTAAATTATCTTATGACGAATCTTCCCTGCTCAATTGCAAATCACGGTGATATAATCACACAGTAGTTTAAGAATACTCTGTCATAAACGATTTTGAAATGCAAAGTGTTTCACTGAAAGTTAATTCGTGATCGTGATAAATTACTTACGTAAATAAACTCTGATCATAGAAATATAATATGAAAATCCTTGAAATTGAGGTATAATATGACGTGGTAAGTAAATTATATATTATAGTATACGTATTCATCAATTCGGAGAGGTTAAGGTGGTAACAATACATATACTGTTGCAGGAATCCTTTAAAGAAAAACCATTTGACACAGAGACCCACACCAGCACCGCCACTGTTATCTCATGTAGAAGACAGAGAGCTCGATGTTGCAGTTCAAAGACTTATTTAGTATGTATTATTTATTACTGTTTCGTTTCCCAATTAAATAATACATAAATGATTTTTCAAAGTATCTACTAGCATTTTATATAAAAAAAATTAACTGTCTCGTATTATATAATATTGTTTACTTTAAAGTGTTGAAGATACAATTAGGAAACTGACAAAAGAAATGAAGAAGTATATAGAAGCTGTAGTAAACTTAGATCGTGCAGACCAAAGACTAACGCTAAATTTGACAACTTGTGGCCTGGCTCATCTCAACGATGAGTTTAGAAAAGTAGTGGAAGACTACCACTCTGTTACCACTCAGGTACATTTATAATTTATTAACTAGCAATGTTTAATGTAATAAAATAGTTCTTGTACCTTGGATAGGTCGGGAAGACAGTACAAGAAATGGCAGTTCTTTGTCAAAAAACATTTATAGAACCTTTAAAAAAATTACGAGACGAGTTTGCTCTAATAGCTGCAGCAATAGCCAAACGTGAAGAGCTGGTAGCTGCTTGGAGAAATTATTACAATCGCGTAAGAAAGTTACAAGAAAAAAAGGATAGAACAGCCAGTCATATTGCAAAACTGGAAAGAGAAAGACGAGCAGAAGAAGCAGCTGCAAAGGATCTAAAGACTGTACATGCTCAACTACTCGTCGAACTACCTACATTTCTTGACAAGAGACTAGAATATATTAAGCCTAGTATACATGCTTTGATAATGGTACAGTTAGATTATTATGGAAGTACAACAAAATTATTTACACACTTAATGCCAATTCCAAATGCTTTGGGATCACCGTCCAGTGCGATGGTACCCGAAGACGAATATCAACAAACTGTGGCTAACCAAATGAACAGAATAAGAGCTCTTACCATTGTCAAAAATCATTGAAAGTTACTAGCACTTCCGTAACTAAAATAAAATCCTAAAAGGACCGATGATGCTGTTGAGCTATCGTGGGTACGAATGTATTTATCACATGGCAGTATTTACATTGATATTGTAGAAGTATAGATAAATTTAAGATGGAACCATTCCTTGATTTCGTTTCCATTGAGCACCCGAACGGCGATTGTGATTAGCACGTGATGCTTTATGGGTGTTTTTCTGCTGCCTATTGAATAAGATTTCTTTCTCTTGCCCTTGTCCTCTGGGTTTACCTGCGTATAAAGGGAAATCACGCGATCAAATATTTTAAATGCTTTTTTCGTGAGCTATATGAAACGTCTAATAATGTGACTGTCGATGCATCTTAATAAATGCAACTTACCAGCTACGTTGCTTGAAGCTCTTCTGCCTCGATTAGCTTGCCTTCGTTCTTCAGCTCTAGTACGCAATTCGGCCGGATTCTGTAGAAAATGATCTTTACCGTTTTGTTCAGCTCCTAATTCTTCATCCTCCGATTCAGATTCATTAGCCATATCGACTTTTCGCCTTGGGAGGAGTACCTAAGGTAATATGAATCATTATTTCCATGTATTTTGAATCTACTGATATTTAAACCTAAGTGAAAATACGAACTCTTGGAGTAGTAAAAGGTCTGGAATCTATCTCAACGGAATCGTATTGTGTAGTACTGCGCGAATCTCTGTTATCATACGTATCGTCATATTCATCCTCGTAATCATCTATAAAGCTGTAACTATAACAAACGTTAAGTTAAATTTCACGAAATAATACAATTTTATGAATGTTATCGAACATAATTGTTATTTGCAAATAAATGTTATTTTTATATATTATGTATACAAATAAAATTAAATTACTCTACTCCTCGAAACTTACTTTCTCGTTATATAATCTTTGGGTACTTCGATGACTTCGCGAGTTTTAACGCGAACGTCGTCATCGTTATCGTCACTGAACTCGTCCAATTCATCGGGGTCAACAGTTTGGTCATTGTAGATTGGAATACAATGCTATCGGAATGCATATTGCTATTTACATTTCTTAATAATAAATCATTATTTATATTAGTGACGTAAAATTAAGTTTCTATACCGTGTAATCTGGCGGTGTATCGTTCACTGTGGGTTTTAAGTCTTTCAATTTTTCCAATTGGGGTGGTAATGTATTTTCCAATACGGCATTTATCACAGACGCAGTATCATATTTGTAATGTTCCAAACACATCTTTGAAATAAACTATGTTAATGAGTATAATTTTTAACGCAAACTTGTTACCATGTAAAAACTGTTACCTCGATAAAACGTTCGTCTAAATCATTAAAGATATCTTGAACCTCAGTTATAAGTGAGGCCAATTTAACGCCGTTCTTCATTAAAGGTATTCTCTTCTCATTTGACGAACTTAAACTACCACTAGATGTTACGGCCCGAGTTTGAACACCACTAGGTCCAGCTACGCCTTCCTAGAAAGAAATAATATTATATAGAAATATATAAAAGTAAAAATGTTTTTGTACCTTCGCTACTTACAATTACATCATTGAAGACAGCAGCAGACGGAGTATTTGATTTTCCAACAGTTGCACTGATCGAGTTCAATATGTAATTACATTTTATTGCATCACTGAATATTTGTTAAGGACCGAAGAACTGATAGTATACAATTTTTTAATTGTATTGATTTTATTTTAATCAAACCGTTTCAAAAAGGATACACTTCAGCACAAATATTTGACAAAATTTTCAGATCCGATGTTACTGGATAAAATCGATCGTAATCTGTAATGAATTCTTTCTCCGAAATTGCACTGGTTAAAAATGTAAGATATTCTTCAACATGATTTTTTATTTCTGCTTCTGTCATCGTATTTCTAAATATAATTATATTTTCGATTAGAATAAATGACGGACTTTTATTATTTAAATATGTGTAAACTTACAAATTGTTCTGTGTATTCGTTATGGGTTCGTATATTATAGTTCGAAAGAGCTGTAAAATTTCAACCCTTATCACATCTAATCGATGCTTCAGTTCCATATATTTCGCTATATTTGCTTCATTATATCCTAGCTTACCTAATTTTTTATACATCTCAGGTATTGTGCCCTCATATATCGAAACAATTCTAGATAATAGAAAACAAGAAAGGAAATTACCGAAAATAGTTATACACCAATTAAATTATGAATTTGTATACTTACTTATTCATAAAATCTTCTCTATGAAATGTACTCACTGCAGGTGGGTAATTTCTTAAAAACACAGTAATCGTTGATGATATATCCAATACATATAATATCATATCCTCTAAATTAAATAATGTAAGTTCTGGAGTTTCTTTCAGTAGCGAAACTGCTTCATTGGCATTGCAAACAGGACTAGTGAATTTTCTTTCAACATTTTCAAAGGCCTAAACTAACAATATTCATATTCAGTTATATTTTTCAAATAGCATTTACTTTTTATACATTAGTACGTCACCTCTATAAGACAAGGAACTGCTTTTTGAATATCATTATTGTACCGTGGTTCTAATATGAATAAACTCTTTAAAAGTCTCTTCATTATTTTATCATTTTCTCGGCCATAAAGTTGACAGAGATCAAAGATAATTGGTACCGTAAATATGAAATTTTCATACAATAGGTTTCCAAGAAATGAACGATCCATGTATTCCCCGCTGCTTTCCTTGTTTGTCACAAGACGTGTAAAGGTCATAAGCACATAGCGACTAAGAGTTTCTAGAAGTTCCAACATTTCTGGACAGTTTGAAAAAGTTTCTAAAGCATAAAATGGTGGTGCTTCTTGTAGAAAAGATACTAATGCATTTAGTATCGATTTATTGTATACGATGTTCGACCAGAATCTAAATAAAAATCCATAACAATGCAAACATATAATACAGAAAAACATAGTAAAGACTTACATAGACTTGCAATATTTTTACTATTGTAAATCAGTATTGCTGTATGCTGTTGTGAAAGAGCTACTACATACTTTCAGTGCTGAATTATTTAGTATATTTACCTGTAAAACTGGAGGCTAAGTAACCATTTTAAATCATCAATCATGCATTGGACAATTTCCATCCAACGTTCCTTTGCCCCCATAATTTCAGATCCGTCCTCATTATATATTTTAGGATCTTCGTAATTTAAAAAATAATGATCTTCCACCCACCTTTTATCCTGAAAAAAGAAATGGGTAAAAAGACACATTATATTGCATTCATAACTTAATCATAAATGTTAGCTTTAACAAGGCATAGATAAATTTATTCCTATATATATATATATATTTAAATAATGAAAAACTTGACAATCTTAACAAGGAATAAACATAATGACATTTATTACAAATAAACATACCATAGCATTAACAGACTCAAGAACACCATCTGCTTTTATACATATCTCTAGTTTGTCCAGAGACAGAGAATCCGGATTCTATGAAACAAATGAAGAGTTAACGCGGTTTTGTAATAATTTTGATTATTATAACCTCTCGCAATCAGTAACAGATGAAAGTTGTGAATAATCAAAGTACATAAAGTTACCTTGAGTGGATCCATGTTCTCACGTGATACATTTCCCGTCATAAACAGTCAAAAATAACGTTGATTAACACTGAGCAGTTCTAATCGCAAATAAATTAACACTTAAAAAATATCGGTGCACCAGAAAGCGTTACTTTGCGACGTTCGAGAGGAATACCTGGGTATACACCCGAATACCGCACGCCGAATATATATACTCTTCTTTTTCCAACTCCAAACAAATTCCTATTGTTCTACTACCGTTCGTCTGAAACCAGGGCCCCCAAGCTCTACTCTTGTGACCATGAACATATGCAACAAGTCGAACGAATCGCTACAAAGTAGCGGAAATCTGTTAACTATGCGACATTTACAATGTAAGATTATCAAATGCAAATATTAAAGTATTATTTATTACAAGTGAACTAATGCGCTTTGAAAATGAATTTTGCTACATGTATGTTGGCCCTGATGTATGTAACCTATTCATGACAAGTAGCATAAATGCATGAATACCAATGTTCTAACGTGTTATTTAATAAATACTCGTACATAATCCGTACGTAAACAAATATAGTTCGTATTTAATAAATAAGTGCACATATGAGATATACAAATAAATATACTATTATATTGGGAGAATATAATTTCTTAGATGGATTTCTAATTTAAATTGACCTTGCCAATGATAATGTCAGATATAATTAATTAATACACGAATAGGATTCTAGATTTATTTATTTCTATACATAATAGGAATTATGTTTTTACGAACAAAATAGATAATTCATGCGACATGTGTAATTTTTTTTTTTAGTATTTTGCAAATCCTGTAAAGTAAATAAATTGTACATGAATGTTTCTAATAAATGATTTTTTTCAATCAATTTCATTTTAATTATACCTTTCATTTATTTTATTCGGTTCATTCTACTTTCAATTTTCATGTTTTTAAAAATCAACAAACCTCTGCAAATTACATACATTTAAAAGTTTGTCAAATTTGGAAATTGTGAGACGCTGACAATATTGCGAATTGCAGATACGTTACGCGATCTAAGAAACTAACAAATATACAGGTTGCGAAATATTTCTAATCAACAAAATTATTTTTATCAGAAAGTGATATAATACAAAAAAAAAGGAAATGAAAATAAATGAAAACGAAATTCAATAAAAATAAAACTAATATAAAGAGAAGATAGGACAGTAAAAAGAAAACAATATTCATTGCAGCATAAAACTCAATAATCAAAGAATAGAAAAATAACTATTTCAGCTTTCTTAAATATCTGATATCATTTATTTATTAATCTTGGATTTATTTCTGTACAGAAAATCATGTTAAACTTGTGGAGTTATAATAAAACCACATCATTATCTAAATAGTTACAACATTAAACATCACAGAAGGTTTTACATGTGTATTATCAATAACACAGTTCGATCGACATAAACATTAATTCTTTGCGGTCGATAGTTGAACCTGTCATCATCGTCTCAACTGCAAAGGGTTTTAATACAGAAATGATACATTGTTGAAATAAAATAAATGTGAAGTTTAATCACTGTAAGTTATAGTACTTAAATATATGTTAAAGCACCAATGTATTGATTAAACTTTTATTTGCAATACAAACCTATTTCAAATAACATTTGTCAATAAATTGTTGTAACATAATAGAAGTTAAAATTATAAGTAAACATAACTTCCGTTATTAATTTTGCAAATAGTAACAGCAACTAAAATATATTCTGGAGGTACGATAGTAAAATGTCTACACTTGTATCATTAACTTTTTAAATCAAGTTAATAAGTTTGATCATAAGAAAAAAAATACAATGCTATCTTAACTTCTTACGTACATTTACGTACGGATTTAGGTCCCATTTTTATAACGTTGAAAACACAAAAACTAAGTGAAACTAAAATATTCTTTTAGTATAAAAAAGTTTTTAAAAATGCATAAAAAAATATATATATTTATATAGAAAATCTTACTAACGCCTTCGCGTAAGTAACTTCGAGGTACCTTATATAATAATAAATGTTTTAATACTGTTATTAATATAGTAACTGTTGTACTTTTTAACTGTTTATACATGAAGAAAAAATGGTACGCTGTATAACAATTATAAGAAATACAACAGATTTTCCATTTGAGTACTCGGTGGTCGACGTATAAATTGTGCTACCAAGAAGGCTAACTTGTGAGCATATTGGCACGGTGCAGGTACTTTAACGGTACCAGACCAGTTATAATACATGTGAGTCAACTTGTACGTAAGTCTTTGCATTTGGTCGGCTCTCCAGCCTGTTGAATCAGCAATGACGTTATACGAACAAGGCGTCACTGTTCCTTGACGAACACTTTGCGAGACTACATAAAAGTCATATTTCATGGGATCTGTAACCACATCATCGACAATTGTTCCTGGTGGTGGATTATTTTGATTATAAAAGAAACGCGTGTTGATGCGTTTCGTAACTACTACAAAGGCCATTTTTACTAAAGCAGGATCTCCATAAATTTTACTCAGTTTAGACTTTATCTGCTCTACCTCATGTGAATAAATGTAGGGCACTTGGCCCTCGCCAACGCCATCACGATAAATAACTATGTGCGACGGTAAAGCTTTATTTAGCTCTTTGTAAGTGTATAACGCTTTTGTTATATTTATAGAGAACTCGTTAGATAATTCTTCACCCGAAGTGTGTGGGTTTACTGCGCTGAAATATCTTGTTAAATTCTTATCGAGTGATGCAACCATTGCACCATAGTCGCGTCCCTTATCGGTCGGGTCGTGGCACACATCAAACCCGATAACCATTAAATTAATGGGTGGTAATAAAACTGTCCATGGAGCACCACCTAACTTGCAGACCAACTGAATTGCTACCTTTGTAGCTATTGATCTCACGCCTTTCGACCTCAGATTTTTCGTCAAGAAAACTTGTGACGGTACTGGCCGATCAACAGTACATTTCTTTTTTATGGCACTGTATCGATCAGCTCGATTATTAGAGACCACACAAAATACAAGGTCCGGATTAGAGGTACTCATTATTCGTTCGAGTGTTTCAGAGTAGGTATTCGACCTATCATCGCGTATCTCACAAAATCTGGGACTTTCAAATCTACATCCCATGCCACTCGCGGATTCTTGGAGTGTTCTGACAAAGTTCTGTAAAGTACAATATATATGTAACAGTAATGAAAAAAAAAACGTAGTTTCATAAAAATTTTAAATATCGTACCTCCATATCACGGCGACCTTGGTTAGTGCATATAACAACCCAATTACTTAATTTTGCAGCATTAAACATTGGCTTATTGTGAAGTTCCCTCGTCCAATCGGCGAACTGACCTGCAGAGCACTGACGGTTACCACCAACAACAATATTTTCGGGAGGTAGAATGCGCCCCTCCACGTTCGTTAATCTTTCATCGAGTTTTAAGTTCCACTCGGTCAATTCTTGTACGATCGTATTCGTTGATCTTAATCTTCTATTAAAAGTCATTAATTTGTCTATACGTGCTCTAGGAGATACACGAGTATGCTCCGCCAGAGCACGCATTAAGTTGAAATTATTCCTCATTGCGTCAGTGATACCTACAGCAAAAATGATTTATTACGCGATGAAATATATGCTGTAAATATAAACGGAGATTATTCAATTAACATACCCGTTGCTCGACATAATTCAGGAACAAGATATACTAATTCGGGTTGACCCGCACGTCGTTCTTTTGGTTTTACTCTTGTTACAAGCATAGGTTGGGAATTATTGCGTATTACAATTTGATACTTATTTTTGTAATAATCTTTGTACGAAATACTTTCACCATTACGCAATTGAAATGTTGAATTAGGATTTGCAGTATAGTCAATATCAGTGATACGATAAGTATTATTATTGTAGTCTGTTAATACGACTATTCCAATAACTTGAGATTCATATAAATTCTAAAAGTAAACGCAATTCACTATAAATACTTAGCTGAAACTAAATATGTATTATCAATAAATAACATTCTTACCTTATATTCATTCCGATTCTGCTGATAACAATCATTTAATATGTCTAATAAAGTTTGTTGGCGCATGACTTTATGTGTTATTTCAGCACACATAAGGATATGATCCTCGTGTTGTCTTATAGAAGTAAGATATCCAGGCCATAGTTCTAATCTAAATTCTTGAACTTCCACCTGTGTTGCAATGAAAAAAAAAATATATATATATATTACTTAACTTGTAAATGAAAATATGTAAAAAGTATGTGGAAATTAGACATTAAAATAAGGTAATACTAAATAAAAATATTCACATGACAAGTATTAAAACATAATTATTTTTCTATTAAACTACTAATATATTTATTTACTTACTTTGCTGCGTGCATCAAAATAATCGCGTCCAACAAGTTGAAGATTCAGAAGACCCAAACACTTCCGCATTATTATATTGAAAAATTGAATATAATGGTAATCACCTTTGGCCATATCTCCAACAAGACGTACAGTAATCCTGATTTTTGTGTCATCTGATTTACGAACAGACCACAATTCTAAAGTCTAAAATTTTTAATACATTTAAAATATATTCGATTAAATTCATTTTAATAGGAAATCTTACATCTTGTATTCGGACACTGGTGTATAGAACGGTGCCATCAAAAACGTAGGCACCTCCTAAAGCTTCTTTGTGAAGCTTCAGCAGACCCTTTCGGACCATAGTGCGATCTTCTTCGGGAGCAAAGTCAACCCTATATTGGTAAAGACACCAATCGGTAGTAGTCAACAGTTTGAAATAATTCGACTGTAGATTAACCGGTGAACCACTGGTACCTAAAAAGTACAATTGTCGTTTAATATATATTTTATGTGTAAAGTATATTATACATCATTCAAATGTTAAGATCTTAAACATATGAACCTTTTTTGGTAACTAGATTTGTTGGCCTCGTATGGACTTCAGGCATTATAACGCGCCTTCCTCTCATTGCACCTCTACCTACTGAGCCGACGTCTCCACCTTCAGTGACTGTAAATGTTTATATGTATTAATAGTTAAAAAGAATATCGTGCAGAATTCTGATTTTAACAAAGATGTAATATCTTTTTTCCTCACCTTCCATTTTTTCAGGTTCTGAACTTCCAGTATAACCAGGCGCTGCATCACCTCTAGGCCCCAATCGCTGCGTAGCACGGCCAGCACTCTATAGTCCATTAAAAAAAATTATAAAACTTCATGTCGTAAAATGTATTGAATATAATAGTAAACTATTCAAACACTTGGAATAAAATTAATTCTTGACATCAAATATGAATTACAGTAATATCCTTCAGGTTTTCACACATTTTGTGCCTTGGTTTGTTACAAAGTTACGCTTCCACCGACCATCCTTTAGATCAGTTTGTTTGGTACGATTCTTCTGACATTAAGAATCTGTGCTTTTCAAGTAACTAGCAAAATAGCAAATTTGTGTCTTAATCCCACCTCCTCTCCCTATTTTCATATGATGTGTAACATATACAATTTGAACAAAATGTCTGACATCAAGTACAAAATTCTTATTATGCGTGAAATATTCCCAACAGTCAACTGGTATTATTTCACTCGACCTCATCATCGTTCCTTACTCTCACTCGCCCACTTCTACACAGGGTATCGAGTGAGCCTGAAAGATAAGAGAGATCGAATTTCGCTTACCCAACTCTCGGATTGTTATAGCCCGATCCCAGTCAAGTGATAACTTGATGGACATTACTGTATTTGAACAGACTGTAACTATACATATTTTATGCTTCGATTAACAATTATTATTAAAAATTTAAATCAGTATTTTCCAAAGCAGAAAAGAAGAAGAATTATTTATTTAGTGCGTTAATTTTACAAGTCTTCACACAAAAATTCTGTGAATAACTCTCATGAGTTAGCAACATCTCTTATTATTCAGAATTTGATGTACAGGTATCATCTGTCAGAAAGCTTAGAAATCATTGATTTAAATCATTCCACGGAGTACTCTTACAGAGACGAAATTCCAGTGTTTTTCAGATCTCGATTTTGAGTGCGTATTAATATTTTAAAAAGTAACAATATCGATGGTAAAATATTGTTAGATTAGAAACGAGATTGAAACACGAACGCGTAATTATTTCATGGTAAATTTTTCACTATCTGCATTTGATGTCAAAGATTGTAATGAAATTAAAATATGGCATAGTTTCATAACAAATATAATTAAATATGGCCATATCATATAGTAACATATGGTTAGTTAGAAATAATTAATATAATTAATAATATTAATAATAAAATGCAACTTATTATATTGAAATATGGTACAAAATTTTGGTCATTAGTATAACATGCTTAGAATAATCATGCATAGTCTGAAAATACAGAAAGACGAAATGAAAGGTCCCAATAAGAATTTCGCCTCTGTTGCAACCTTCGCCAGCAAACGACTACTCCCGTCAAATCGCAACCCCCCCTTCAAGGAAGCGTGCTACGGGTACATGAAGGGGGACGACGGCACGATTTGGCGAAAACGAACAAGTTACGATTTAGGGTCCAGACAAATTGTAAGTTAGTCTTCACGAAACCACTGATGAATAAATAAAGTAGGCGTATATGAAGTTTGAAAACGATCGGTCAACATTTTTAACTTATTCTCACAGATTGAACAAATGTTAAAAATAATGTGATATCTCAAAGATTTTTGTGTGAACTGAATTGAGAATATTATAAATGAATTTTAAAACATACTTAAAATATTTTCAAAGCTATACAAATATTATGAAATTTCTTCTCTATAAAAAAGAAGTATTTCAAGAAACGTTTAATATTTGGAATACTAACGTCCCCTCTAAGGTTTATTTAAAAAAAAAATTAATTGGCGGTGAAGTATTATCTCATATTTAATGTAAACAAACGGTGCCCGATCGTTGCGCGCGACTTTGTCAGCAAAGGGAATAAGCGCCATCATGGCTGTTCTGTTACAAAACGCGTTATTCATTGTAAGCTGCACCAATTTATTTCAGGCATAGAATTAATCCTGAGACACCGGTGCAGGGTCACTTTTCCGACGTCAATTTCCAAGTCCCATTCCGCTATGATCGAGAGTATCGAGCCATGTGTTTACATTGTAAACTCGATCCGTAGCAATCGGCTCTCCCCACTATTCTAACTTTTTAGCGACAGAAACGTTTCGAACTTTATTGCAAAAGAAGAAGTTTTCGGGACAAAATATTAAAAAGTTGGTTACCACCAGGCATTATTAATATGATAATAATGTTTGCATATAAAAATTTGATTTTAAGCCTTCTTTTGTAGCGCGTATGGGACTTGGATTTCGATGCCTGAATACTTGAATAGTGACCCGGCTCCGTCGTTTGTGCGAGCGTCCGTTGTCCGAGGGTTAAATAGTACATATCACAGTCATCTGCGAAACGTGAACAAACGAAAGTAACAGTTAAATCAACCGACCTGCCAAGGTCACTTTGTTTGTTTTGTATCGAAAACTGTACATGGAAAAGAAAGAAACAGAGGTGTCCTTGGCTGACCACGTGACTTAACTTACAGAACTGTTACCGAATCGAAAAAAAAAAGAGCATGACAGTAGACACCATTCCGCGCCGCGCTGCCGGCAAACAATAAGGTCTTAAAATAAAGAACTACTCTATAATGATAAAACAAAAATTAAAACACTAACCTTCAACACCCCTTTTACCACAGGATAATTCTCGCTCTAGGCAAAAAATCAAATGAAATAATTCTAAATATTTTTCACCAATTCCTAAATGGATTTTCATTCAGTAATTTCATAGAAAAATCAGACAAAATAGTAACAAGCACTGTTAACAATGAAAAACCTTGAGAAAATAAAGTGATGCAAGAAAAGAAAGAATAAGAAAGTATTTGCCTTATTCAATTTGCATTTTTAAGAATTAATTTACTATTTACAATGGCAAGAATTTCAACTAGTCCAAAACAGCCTGTTGGCTAAGGCTAGGGAAACTATGTTATATTTGTAGTCACTTTTTCAATGTATTGCATGGGTTTTAGTTATGAAATAGCATATGAATATTATAATACACCGTCAGATCTCAACACTATTTACAATATTTAAAAAAAACACTGTATTAAATGTAGAGGAACAAACAAGGAAAAGATATGGAGAACAAGTTACTAAACACCAGAAACCAACTTCTTATTGATTCTTTGATATACCTGTGTTTGTGGTGGTCGAGAATAAGGTGTTTGCGACGACGGGCCTGCTGTTGCTTGAGGTGCAGAAGATCCAGGTCTACGAACCCAAGTAGGTGCTGACAATTGTGATCCAGAAGCTGAACCACCAGGTGCTTGTAACTCGCCTTGTGGTCTTTTACCATCTCGTCCTCGTGCTATGCCACGGCTCCTACCCCTGCCTCGATCAGACATGATTTATCTGAAATCAATCACAAATTATAGATTAATTAAAAGATATAAAAGACATACACAGAGTACTCTCTTAACACATTCACAGTCCAGCCATTCAGTAGTTTATGATTTAGTAGAAGAGTTGAAAGCAAAACACATTTTAGTTTTTGATAAGTTAAGAAGCAACGTGTGTATAAACCTTGATAAAAACTAAGTGTTTTTTTGAACTTCTTGCTTTAGTGTATTCATGGCTGAATACCAAAATCTATTATCCGAATTAAGAAACTATGGTCGGTAATGAGATTTAATACACTCATTGTCAGTTGTGTACAAATATACAAAGCCAACATGAATTGTCGCTATGTTGTTGCCGGTGGCCCGCGGCAGTCAACGTGTTAAACAATAGCTATTGACTGCTATTTCTTTACATCTAACTCACTTCACCTTCAAGTTTTGCTTAATCTATTAATTGAATGTCTCTTTCAACAAACTAACCAAGTTTACGTTTTTTCATGTGACGATAAATGTAAATACGTTGCCAGCTTTGAGGTTAAGTGCAAATGTTTGTACAAATTTCTAGAGAAAACGAAATTTGTAAAGTTAATAAAATTAATACAAAGTTGCATGTTTAAACGTATTTGAAAGAAACTCCTGTTAAGATATCAGACTACTAATAAGTTACAATTTACAATTTATAATCATTTAGTGAAACAAAAAAAAGGAAAGTTATAACTGGTAAACTATATCGATAAATTGGCTTTGAAATTTCTCGTAAAATTAATACAATCATCACAAGAAAAATACAATCATAACAATAAAATAAATTGTAAAACAGTTTGTGAAGAGCTATTTCGATGAAAATATATACCGTATCGACAAGATTTCAAATTAATTATATTACACTTTTTATACACTTACCAAATTGAATACGGTGTACAAAAATGTTACTCTTCGCGATCTTGGGTCCGACGCAATTTAATGCAACCTACGCTTGCAGATACACATTTAGAAATGTGGGCAAGACCAAGCAAGACCAAGCAAGACCAGGCAGAACGCCTCGTTGCCTCGTTTACCTACCTACGCCGAATCGCGCTCGAAGATCTGCGCATGTGTTTAACTACTGCTACAGTTTTGTCGTCACTGCAAGCACTGCTCTATTCAATGAACTGCTTAGGGTACTATTAGTGTTTCGAAGAACATTTTAATACTTACAAAGGGGCGAAATTCTAATTAAAACACATGATGTTATCGACTAAATTAATTTCATATAAAATTTATACAAATAATTAATCAAAAATTCCGAAATTGATGAAAACTAATAAAGAAAGCTATGGTGTTACGAAGAATGAAATAGCACGTATGCGTAGAACCCACTTCCGTGTTTAATTCCATGCATTATGGGTAATTTCTTGCTACTTTAAAAACAGTTATCAAACTTATAAGACGTTTAACGACAATCCGCACAAATTCAAGCAACTTTCGTCCTTAGAAAAATACGAATATATGATCATTTTCGTTCCATTAAATTTCTTTTTTCTTTTGATAAGAATTCTTTTCAAGAGTTTCTTTTCAATGCATTAAAATAAACGTTCACTTACAAAATAAATTGAACGTTTTAAAGAAGTCAACTGAACATGATTTATTATTAAATTAAAAAAGTATTTACTATGCAAAATAATGAACAATGAATCTTATTAGTCATAATCGTTTAGGACCATAAGACCACAGTTCTTCTCTCATTTTAACCTTTTTATTATCGAATTAATTAATGATTAGGAAAATCTCTTTACTGAATTAATTCCGCAACTTATTTTGTAGTATATTAATTTACTTGTAGTAGAAAGAAGTAGCAAATCTTACAGAATTTCCTAAAAAAAAGCAAACGAGTGTGTATATATATACCTGGTGTTTTCTTTAACTTGAACATTTAAATGCATCTATATAAAATAATTTAGTTATCCATGCTTGAATATACTCGATATGCAGTTAGAAGTGATTACAGTACACACGGAATTGTAAAATAATGCATTACTATTTATTTATATGGATAATGACTTATAATATGCAGTTTTTGTTTGTTCGGGGTATAGCTCACTGCTATTCACGGCTTTGCAACTTTGTATAGTCACGTGGTTTTGTTTACCATGCTTTTATCTCAATTATATGCGGTGGGATGAAAGACTCCCACTGGAAGTAGGAGTGGACTTATATTTCTGTGCTATTGGAAAGACGACAGGTGGAGCGTGGAGCACGTTGTCTTTAGCTAACCTCTCTTACAGTATGTTAGAAGGTTATATTTGTTAAAGATTTCTGTACTTTAAGAAAATGGGAAAGCAAAAAAGAGAGAGGAGAAAACCTTCTAAGAAAAATCCCACTGGCCTGCCGTCTGTTAAGGATTTTGAATTAGCTGAAGCCGAAAACATTACGAATGAAGATCAAGAAAACGCTTTGCAAAGAGTATACGAAGATGTAAGATATCCTTCAGATTCTTGTTTAGTTTTTTTAACCAATTCTAAGCAAATTACTATATAAAAAAATAATATATTTTAATACTTTGTGTATTATTACATAAAAAAAAAATTGTTTAATCTCTCGAGTGCAAAGGGTTATCGTCACGCATCAGTCCTATCAAATTTGAACACATATACAACAATAAATGAATAACTACATTATAAATGTTACAGGTACAGTCTGCTAATGTTGAGGAAGTATTGTCTGGATTGCAAACATTGGAATCAATGTCTTGCAATTCAAAGCTTGCTGTGCAGATCGCAAAAGATGGAATTGCTAAACTAATAGGACCATTGCTTGTTGATCGCAATGTACTTGTAAGAGCTGAAAGTGCCATGACTCTAAGGAACATTGCAGATAATGGGAAAGCAGAAGCATACGAGTCTTTACTAAAAGATGATATCATGACTCCACTGTGTAGTTTATTGAAACAAGTAAGTTTGAAAAGTATTTAATGTTTATGTTATTGTTTAATTTAATAACTTATATATCATCTATAGTATTATACAGACTGGCAGCTGACACTTGATCAAAATGAAAAAAACAAAGTAAACGATGAAAAGAAAGCATTTGTTCAAGCAGTCACATTGTTATGGACACTATGTGAAAATAATGAACTTGCAGTAAAATATTCGAATCAAGAAGATCTTGCTTGCATTTTAACAAAGTTTTTCGACATTACTATTTACGGTATAGAAATTGTTACAGTGACTGTACAATGTTTACTATCTTTGTCAGAAGATAATACCACTGCTATTGATAAACTTAAAAGCTGTGAAAATACACTTCTTCAACTGTTAAATATAGAAACGAATGATTTTAACATTTCTGATGTAATATACCTTAAAACTGCTGTTACTGGACTATTAATAAGTTTATTTAACTATGTAGAAAATGATTCTATGAGTACAGTTTCTAAAGGAGTAGCTGTGCTTTCTGAAACACTTTCTATTGATTGCAAAGAGTTATTATCTAATTTATCATCAATTTTACCTCATGAAAAAAATACTTTCTTAGGCAGTGCAAGAAAGAAGGTTCAGGATAGTAGAAAAATATTTGGCTCGCAACAATTAGCATTAGAAATTTTAACTAATTTATGTTCCGAAGAACAAGAAAGTGACAATGATTCTAATTTAGATAATTCAGATTGCGAGAGCGATAGTATAGATGATGTAGATATGGATGACAAATTATTTACTGCAAAATTTTCTCTACCCATGGAGGTAATTGAAGTTTTCAATAGTTGTAACATAATTAAAAAAGTATGGGATAAAACTTTAGCTGTGGACAAAGATACAGTAGAAATACTGGAACAAAATGTGGAGGGACAAGCTATTTTACAGCAAATGCATACATTGAATTGTACAGCTTACCTCTGCTTAAATAATTTAATATCTCATTTAGAAATTGATATACTTGGTGGTATGGAAAATGTGTATAGGTAAAATATTTTTAAGTATATCTTTTAAATTACAATTTTAATTGTAATATGAGAAAAATGATTTAATTGAACTACATTTTTATACTTTTAATGTAGAATGTGGGCTGATATTGGTACAGTTATTTTCAAAGATGGTAATCCAAAAAATATTGAATTATTGGAATCTGCTACTACAACTATGAGGGCAGCCCTTCAAAGATTATCCGAGGCAAAACCGAACATTTTCAACCAATTAACATTAACTGACATTGAACTAATGTTGAATGGCGAACGTCAGTGTCCAAATGCTAACGTTCGAGCAAATTTAATACGAATGTTGGGCAATCTTGTTTTAATTTTAATTAATAGTGGTACCCCTGAAAGTTATGAACTAATCAAAGTAAGACACAATCTTATATTGAAACTTGTTTGTGAATGATTTTTCGTAATGAACAATTTTTTGTAGTATGTATCAACGTTTTTATTAAATACTTGTACGGTTGAACCAAAGGCTTGGGTGATAGCAGAATCGTTGGATGCGATAATGGATGCATATTCGGAAGATAATAGTGATCAGTTAGCGCGTGAAATTAAATTAACAGAAACATTACGTGATGTAATACCACGTTTTAAGAATATTGTAAGCCTTCTTTTTTATTTGAATGTATTAACCGATTTATTTATTTCTAATATAATAATTACTTTTTATATTGTCTAAATAGGTGGGACAACAGAAGAAAACTTTAGGAGATAACATTGCAATAGTGTCTACAGTAAATTCAAATATCACAAGATTTATAAAATATAAAGAAAAAAGAATAAAAAATGTTTAAGAAACTACTATTTAAAATTGAAACTAATTTTGCTACTTAGTTTTTATATAGAATGTTTTCATTGTCTTCGTTAAGATATGTATTGGCTGTAGATTGATGAACTGAAATAATACATGTATACAATATAAGTATGTTATTTATGACACAATATTGTATATATAAAAGCTTCATTAAAGATGTTTATGTATCACGAGGAAACAAAGACTGAAGGAGTTTGTAAATTGTATAATCATAAGACCATGGAATTCTATTGTAATGAAATTTAAAAACATGAATTTTGTAAATATTACAAATAAAAAAAGCTTTTTGCAGAATTTTTGTAATTAATTATATACGTATTTCACGTTACGATATTTTAGATAGTTTCGAGAAATTCATCGACGTAATGGTGAATTTGTATTATCGTGTTAGCAATCCGTTCCAATTCATTCTACAAAAGAAAACTATAGATAATTGTATACAATATTGAATAAAATATCGAATACCACGATAATAAATAATATGCACAAAATTTAAATAAACTTATTTGAATAGAGTTTATACGTTTCTTCTGAAATAATTGATTAGTACGACTCCATGCTTGCGGAAAAATTGACCGCACTTCTAATTTCGAACGATTTATGACTGAAAAAGAGTAATAATACATTAGACGGCAGCGGTTTAGGAGCAAACTTATAACTACGAACACAGAATAGTTCAAGTGTACTCTGTGCTACAGGGTACACTTGTATGTCCACCGCGTAAGTTAGCTGGAACTAAATCGAGAATAGGAACCTGTTGAATTCTGTAAATAATATATAGCAAGTAAATAAGATAAAATGTTTAAAATTTATTCTGTATCAATAAATAATGAAAATGCTAAATAAATGGGAGACATCTACGATCACATAATAATCTATGCCCGAAATTGATGAAAACGTCTTGTTTCATCTTTGTATTAAGGCTCCAAGTACATAATACGTATACTTATTACGCTCATTGACCCTTTGAAGTATCTACAAAGAACAATCGCTTTCGAATTTTAAATGAAAAGTGTGTCAAGGATACTTTGGATAAGAAACTTTATCGTGAACCATTGTCCATGCATATTGAGAACTATAACGACGCTTCGAAGGGTCAACGAGAACTCTAACCATTAAATAAAGGCACATGTACACAATGTCTACACAGTCTTTAAAGAATATTTCGACTAAAACCAACGGAAGTACTATCATATTTCCATTTAATTTAGAAGCCGAAACGATTGCACAATGTCCTACACAATTCACGATGTCGAAGGTGGAAATTCTAAAATGATTTCCCTCTGGTTGATTCAAGACTCTTTCGTTCTTCGTTTGGAACCACGTTTGATCGAGTATCGTTTAAATTCAATGCGCTGTGTCTTCTCGGTTTTGGTATCGGATTTATGTCGTCGACGATCTCTGGCTTCTGCTTAATTGGTTCAGAGATGTGAAGCTCGATCACTTTTACCGGTTCTCTGAACACGGCTACAGGAACAGGGGGCTCGTTTAGTCTCACAACGTGAATGTTCTGCTCCCTTGGGAATTCCTTAAATTCAATTTTAATCGCGCCTTTGGCATTCTCGTCGTCCACCATATTTTGGAAGAAGTGTCTACGATTCGCTTGAAGCGATTGTCTGGTGTTCCCATGCTGAATGTCTCCGTTCGTTTCTTCCGACGAATCTTTGGTAGCGTTTTTCGTCTCTAGAGCTTTTATTTGCTTCTCGATCTTCTCGATCTCATCCTTCACGGAGAAACTATCACTTCTGGACAACGAATCCAAGGAGCTCTTTCTTCTAAGACGAACTTCCTCCAGTTCCGACGGCGAGTTTATTTGGTTGACGTCCTTGATTATCTCTACGTTCTCTTGGGAAGTCCTGTGGTATTCGATTTGAACATTGTTCTCGTCCTTCTTTGCGGATTCATCAGAATTTTCCTTCTTCACGGGTTCTTCAGAATTTGCCTTCTCCGATTTCTCTTGATCCTCCATCGTAGAGTTTTTTGGTTCAGTTTGCTCGATCCGTACAGAGTTCTCTTCTGTACACTTTTCTTTAACGCATGACTTGGCGTCTTCTGCATTATGTTCTGTGGTTTTGACAAGACTATCTTCTACCTTGGCTGTTTCCAGTGTCTGTACGTCATCTGAAACAGGCTCTGTCGATTGTTCTTTCGCCTCGTTAGTCTCCTTGTCCAAATCTTTACTCTTCTTCGTCATCTCGTCAATGTTCTCGGTAACTCTCGCTATGTCCATTGGCTCTACTATCTGAAGTTCGATGTTGGGTGCTTCGGTAGTCTTCTGCAAAATACACCATGCTATGAAAATATATTAACACGTTTAGGCTACGTTTAAGCCCTGTGTACTTGAGACAAAATTGATGTTGTTTGTTACAACAATCTAAACAAAGATGGGAGTTTTCTTTACAGATGTTACAAGTAAACGTTTGGTTGGTTGCATTATGGATCGGATTACTTTAAATCTTGATTTCCAGTGTTGTTATTCTTTACATATAGACTGTTTAACAAACTAAAATTTTCAGGTGAACGCAACGACGTTGATTTTTTCGGCTTCTTTTAGCCTCTGCACGGAGAAAGCTACAGGACAACATAGCCTAAACAAAAAGTAAAGCTCTGGTCCATAGGGACCAGGTTGGCAACGTGTTAAATGGTTCAACAATTCCATCAAAATATTTCTGAATCTTATCACGTCAATTTCTTACGTTTACCTCGCTACTTTCCACCTTTTCCAGACGTCGTGGTGGCTGCGGTGCTCTCCGTTTCTTCCGGCCGTACGCGCTCATCGTACTGCCAACAGAAATGCAGCTGTTTATAGAGAGATTGGACTTCCTAACAGCGTCCTGGGTGAACCTCTTGAAGACGTAATCGTCAGGAACGTTCTCGTTTTCGTCGCAAAACGCGGCGTCGCCTGACCGATTCGTTTCCTCTTCAGGGTCTACGGTACCCGTGGTCGACCTTTGCGAAGATCTGTTGCCGAGTCTACGCCTGGAAAAATCCACATTTATAACGGATAATCTTTCAAGGAGCGAATAATCGTACGAGGAACGAGAATTCTTACAAAGGAGGAACGGGCGTCCTGTCTTGCGTTTTCACGCGAAGAGTTACACCGTCCTCTGACATCTTGTCGTCGAATTCCAACGATGGTATCTTGTCGGTTGGCTTTGGGCTTACCTGACCGAATCTGGAACGAAAATTGTACGAATACTTATGATTAATGCTGCGTCATTGCTTGGTTACACATGCACATTTGTCTTAGGAATTAAACATACTACATACATATATATCGTATTTGATAAAGATAAATGCGAAATTAAATTGTGCATCTATAATTAAACAACAATACATGTTAGTAATCGTATATGTATACAATGTATAATATGTATAATATGTGTGTATATGTATAATATAGTGTTTGTTTTCCTATCACGACCATAAGTGTGTAATCGTAATCGGTTCAATTTGGTATTTCGTTCTGATTTGGTTCATTTCGCCCACCTTCTGGCCGGTGGTCTGGGAGTAAGGTCGCCCATGATGGACGCAGTGGTGTCCTGTGGGCTCCCGTCGTAGATCCTCGCAGGATCACCATTCACGGTTAAACTTGAGCTATACCTTGACGAGGAGTTGTCCAAAGTGTACTTTCTTCTTCTCGCTAAAGTACCAAGAGCTTCGTCGAACTCCTGCTGATCCTTGGTTGGTCGCAGAGGAGCCATAGGCTTGGTGTTGGCTTCTCTTTTGTAGGTCGACGAAACTGTCGATTACATCAGAATTAATTATACAGCTCAAGTCTATTAGACGGTAACTTTTAAAAACGAGTAAAGACCTGTAGTGATCGTGGATCGTTTTTCCTGCGCTTCCGACTTTTCATCCTTTCGTTTCCCGAACAGTCCACTCCTGAAAATAAACGATGAAAGTTGTTGGAAGAATAATGGGAGACGAAGAAATTAACAGTTTCGGCGTGCGTCAAACGATAATTGTGTCATTCGTTTGATATTCAAGCGTGTTGAGAGATCTGTGTCACATTTATATGCTGCACGAGATGGTGGGACTATGCGCGTGCCTCGCTACGCTCTTAACCCACAGTATCCCGCAATTAATATTCTCAATTGAACTAAGACAACGTTTGCGTTATCCAGCAATGAATTTTTAGGAAAATAGTTAAGAATTTTTTGAAATATAAAAACCAATCCATTCTTGCCAGGATCTTCTTGATGGACGACGGAGTTAGAGAACAGTTTTAACGTTTTATTTTTACTAAAGGTTTTTTAAGAAGTTTAAGAGAATGGCATTTCTTTTTGAATTTTTTGCTCGCTGCTTTTGTGAAAAGTAACGAGAGTATGAATTTTTGTGCCAACGGAAAGTTACTTGAGTTTTTTAATAGGAATGTAAGTTTTAGGAATTTTCCAAAAGTGTCTGGACGCTAGAACTAGCATGATTCATAGGCACAATGCTTTTTATTTACTGTAGATATGAATGATGCAGTGTTTACATGTGCACAGCTATCAAATTTAGAATCTCGGCAAATATTTACAGAATTTACACAAATGAGCATAGGTAGGATAAACAATTGCACACAGAGTAGCGTGATACTCTACTGATCAAGTGTATCATTCCTCGCACAGAAAACACTGTAGCGTCCAAGATACTTTTTGCTTGCAGCAAAAACGTTATTCCTAGCTACGATTATCCGTACTTGAACCCAGACCTAACCGAGCCATAATCATGCAAAAGTCTCGACCACACTGTATCGATCAACGATTCAAGTTTACAGGTAGCGAAGAGAGCGCAACAAGCGAAGCAACCGAGAGGACTCGTCACTCTTATATCGAGATTGTCTGACGTCAACAATACCAGTCTCTTATTTTATTCCATGGGTGTCGCAAGCAAAATGATCAGTCTCGCGACGATCATCGAGACTTTATACTGTAAAAATGTCATTTGACGATTATAATGCCCAGCCACGCAATGCTGTTGATGCTGTCCAAAGATAAGGCCCGAACAAAGTGTAACGAATCGGCCGGGAGGGCTGTCGGCGTGCAATGCTTTGACAAATTATCAGGACAAGTCGCTGGAGACAAAGAGGTTCCTCCACGGCTCGTTTCTACGCTGAGATAAAGTTCGAGGACTGATTCATGGTCAGCGAAACGCTCGAGCAACCTCATTGTCAGCGTAGCAGATTACAAAGTCCAGTCGTGGGATATCCTTTCAGTTCTAATCCAGAGCCCCGCGAGGCGACTTTGCTGATGGGTCAGCTAATAACACGTTCACTGCCAGACTAAAAATCGTGAAAATTTCTACAACGTCAAAATGTTATCTCGATACTATTGAACGTCAAATAACTTGACGTTTGTCGTGTTATTTAAGTTTTGAATGTTGGCAAATTCACGTATTCTATCCAGATTTATTTGTCACTATCGCCACGAAATTACTTTTTTTTAGTTTCTTAATGAAAAGTCACGCGTCACCCATGACGTGGCGACCAACGTGATATTTAAACGAGTTTCTGCACGGCGATGGAATATGAAATGCTGGAACATAGGTTTCTCAATGCTTCTGGTTAATTGTTTAGGAGATAATTATGGCTCAAGTTTCAGAAGGTATCTTCTGAAACTGTATACTCGTGATGCATTACAAGACCTGTGCGTTCGAAATTTTTTATAATAATTTCAGAGTCTCTGTTTAATATAAAAAGGCTCCCATAAACCAGTCTTCCTACATTTTGTGTTTTAATTACACGTTCGCTACCACTATTAAAAATGTATCTCACGAATGATGTAAGCAGTTTTTTTCGTGACCAGAAATTTGAGACATTTTTAATGATAAAGCTCGCAAACTAAACCGCAAGTGCTAAAAAATTAACAAATAAGCGGCAATACAGGCAAAGACAATAAACGTATAATTTGCAATAAAAGTGTTGGTTGTGTGGCGAGCACAGTGAATGGCCGGGAGCAAATTGAAGCAGCGGCATAAGTGCGAAATGACATTGTGACTGATCGTTTCGAGTTAATTGGTAAGGATCCTATGTTTTATTGACGGCGTGTGTGGAATAACCACCTAACCGCTATTCGCGTAATAAAACATATATGAGAAGCTCGGAATCAATAGAAGTTCCGACCGGAACTAGCCTTTAATGTTAATGCAAATACGAAGTCTCTTCGCGAAACAAAATTGAATTATTTTGAATTTGAATTTTTTCACAATAAATAGAAAAACGTTGTTAGTTTGGAAAAATAAAGGAGTCGATATCAGAAAGTACTGCACTTGGTTTATGCACGGCTACTTCAGCACAATCGCTGACGTCTCGCTAAACGATCTATAGCTTGCATACAATAGAACCGACGCGACGCGACGTACTATCTACGACTACTGTGGGTCAGCAGACTATCTTCGAATGATTTATTGCCCTCTGTGACGCATCTTTTCCTGACCTTTCATTGCGGAGATATTCGCCAAATATTGACACTCAATGTCCGACAAAAACAAATTGATCCTTGGAAATCGATCTCTTTCTAGGATTTCATTAAGTAAGTTCGATTACACCAATTAAAGAATATTTATACGTTCATCCTTAAGATGTACAATTGCTTGTATCATTTGTGGAACGCAAAATAGATTGTTGTAGCGAGTACTCGTAAGATCGCCTCAGAGCAATCTTCGAGTCAGCCATTGCGTAGGAAAGTCGCGCGCGATCGTTTCTTTAAATAGAAATCCGAAAGACCTTTTGGATGAAACTCGACCTGACGGCGATTGTCTGGTACGTTGAGTTACTCGTTATTTATGTAGTTTGGATGTTAGCCAAACGCAGGTATACACATTGCGTTCGGTTTTCGATGGTAAGTTCAAGTTCAACAAACTTGCGGGCGCATCCTTCTCAAATTTACTTTCAAACTCGATGGAACGGCCGCGGCGTCCTCGTCGCGGATAAAGAAACCAAACGATCGACGTCAACGCTTTCTACGATGAATTTTATCTTTCATACATATTCAGCTTTGAAAACCCCTAATCTGACTGTGACCACAGTTTACAATTCCGAGTAACGAATATTTACCAAGTGGACTTGATGGAGAAGCTGTTGGATCTCTTCTTTCTGGTTCGGCCGAATGTCCAGAATTTGTTCTTTGTATCTTTCGTTTTCCCATCTCGATACACGACGCGTGGCTGGTTATTGGTAATTTCGTCGTTGAACGGATTCAAATGCTCTGGATAGTCGTATATGGAAACACTGGGACGCCTCGATCGCGACATGATTCACCCTCGTTTCCTCTTCAAGCTTCTTTGAATTTTATCTCGGGAATGGCGTGAAATCGCGACGCCTCGACAACGGGGTTCATCGATCTCTCGGCATGATCCTTTTGGCATCTGCTTCAATCTGAAAGCGCAGAACAGTACACAGTTAGTACTATTATAATTAGTTATTTCTAAACAGGAATATCAAAGTGGAAAGTAGGTATCTGGAGTCCCGAATAAGATTGTTTCATAATTTTTACATTATTTTATGTACATACACAGGTGGTGGCAATCTTTTGAGACAGAATTTCACAACACACTTTTCACGGTAAAACTTTCAAGACTTGAGACACCGTGTAAATAAACGTAGAAAAAGAAGCAAATCGAATTTTGTATCTGAAATTCGACTCTTCTCTCGAGTAATTTATGGGCGAATAGACCTTGAAGGAAAACCACATTGTCTGCGATCAAGTTTTGTAAAAATCCTTTTAATGTTCTATTTGGTACACCTTCTAGACGTTCCTCGTTTCTTTGGCTTCTATTCGTATCCAAGACACGTCGCTAGCTTGTTGTCGCAACGATATTAATTGTAAAGGTACGAAGTGTGAGTAATGTAATCTAGTAGTCGCGTCGAAAGCATCGAGCATCCGGAGTAATGTCAGGATTTATTTTTAACATATTGCGTATACGCGGTTCCGTGGAAGTTGACGTTCACAGGAAGTTGAACTTGGCTAACGAGAAACAGTCTTACGATCAACCAGAGATAGGCAAAATTCGTATCTACAATCTATTCTATTTTTATCTATGCAACTTTGAATAATGGGCGAATAGTAAACGATTTCTTCTTCGTTACTCGTAGTATAAAAACCAGAATTTGAATGGTAAATTGAAATATTTCAGGAAAACCAAATTAAAGTTTAATCCATCGAATAAATGTTACAAATAAATCGATATACGTTGGCTTGATGAGTAATCGTCTATTATTCGAGAAAAACGTTTGCTTTCGAGTCTGCAACCAACAAGCAGGCAACTACACTCGGTTCATTAAATATCATTTACTTTACTGTATCGTGCAGAGCAATTAGGAGATCGCGTTTCTGATCGATTCGAATCTATCGGTCAAACTTACTTAATGATATTTGATGAAAATCCAGGGCTGTTTGTAAGAGTTACCCGACGCGATACACTTTCATTTGTTGCTTTCGTGTCGAAATAATAAAAAAATGAGGCAAGCTCGTCGAGCGATAGATCGGATAGATCTCGACCTCGGATCACGTTAACGATTTCGATGCGATATTCGTATCACGAAGGGAATATAAAGTATATTAGTCAATGAAGATGGATACGAGGGAAACGATTAGGAGCGAGCAGCAATATAATTGCTGAACGTGCGCGTACCGTGCTATCTCGTTACGCCAATTGTCAGTTCAAATCGAACGACCTACGGACTCGTCCAATTGACCATTATTACGCACCAATGATTGCAAAACAAGGATAAAGTCCTAAGTTAATCCGTCCAACTCGGAAATAACGCTCGTCTGCCGTTAACCTCGCGCGAAACCAACGGAAGAAATACACGTAAACAAGTAGCTTATTTCGTCTTAGAAATTTCAAATCCTGCAAGGAACAAGACCCAAGTATTGAGTTCATAATCAATTTCAACTATGAAATTATCGCTGCGGATAAACAAATTCTTCCCACGTTGGAATAAAAGAAAACGATTATGTGGACAAAGCCGCAAAAGAAGCTACGAGAGATTCTTATCAAAATTTCCCAGTTCGTCACAATGATCTTAAAAGATTTCTACGTAAGAAAAACAGGGAATTCTGGAATACCAAATGGAAAAAAAAGTGTTTCAGGTACGGAAGGATATATTGTACACTTGAAACCCGACAACCAAACTGCATGAATGAAGTAATCCTCACTCGTCTACGAATTGGCCGTATTCGACAACTTTTCATTCGGCGAAACAGCATAGCCAACCTAATCAATTAAAAGTATGCCGTTTCAGTGAAACCTTCCTGTTCCCGACCATGATTTAACGAGACGCTAATTAACCTCATGTTCCTCGAGATTTCTTGCGTTACGCGACAAAATAACGTTGCGTTAACCCGTTTGACGTGCCACCTAATCCTAGATTACGAAAATAGAGAACGGTACATCGTTTGCGTAACACACGTTGCTCGATGATGCATCTTAATTACTAATTCTAAGTCACACGTTGATTCCGCGCTGGCTGGTTCGTCTTTTCTTGTTGGCGCGATTCACTGTTCCGCGAACGCATTTCTCTTTTATACGAGACGAGAAACGATATTCTTTTATCCGTTACTTACCGAGCCACGCGACGCCGACGGGTACTTTCTTTATTTTATCGCTTCGTAACATACCACTGACTTTCATCCGCCGTTTTAGAAAATAATTACAATTTATTTCAATTATGTTTACATATAATTATTTATTGAAGAGGCCTGAAATCGTGATGCAGACATTTATATTTCTTTATTATGTTATTATTATGAATATTCTCATCACTTTTTATGTGTTCATTATTGTCTATATTATTTACTTTATCTTTTACTTTGAATTTATACCAAATCTCCTTATACCTCCTAATATAATAATACATGTCGAAATCTAGGAAGACGATCGTTGCTTTCACTGTGATAAAATTCATATAAAGTAATGATAATGGAATTAATTATACAACTCAGGAGTCGCAATTAGGCGCATTTAGCTCGTAGCCTGATTTCCCTTCTTCGGGCGTCAACTTTTTAGAAATTCAAACGCGTGCCAGACGAAATGAAAAAATCCTGGAGCTGGAATAATTAGCCGTGCCACATGTTCATGAAGCAAAAACACGCACGCGACATGAATTATAGTCGCCTCTGCGATGCTTTTTCTTTTAAGAAACTGACTATCTGATGAAAAACGTAACGTTTCGGTGAAACTTTTCAGGTTTGGAGTGACAACAACACTAGGAAGATTTTTAAATGTTCAGGTGTATCAGAAAAGAAACATTCTGAGACAGTATTCTTTTATTACGAAGAACTTTCAACAATTAAAAAAGCATATTTCTTGATTATATATCTAAGTGGCTGAATGGATTTGAATGATTACAATACCTTCCTTTCTTATTAATATAATACATGAAAATATAAAAATACGTGTTTCTCCGTGTGCATCCGAAAAATTTCACCAAAATGGTCTTTGAATGATCCACAGATATATTATATCTTATCAGAAGAGTATGCGTCCTCCAAGAGTCAAGCAAAAGTATCACGTGCTTACGAGGAATGACTAACGAACGCAATTAGCTCAATTAGCTCATTGCACTCGCAATTCGTTCCTGATCTGCAGTTCGTCCATAAACTTGCGTCACGATTGTTGAACGATTCTCAACGCAAAGACAATTACAAATAGATACGTGTTTATAGTTGAACGCCTTATCTTTGAAACTCGACTATCTCGAGTCGCTTCGAACAAATGTCGACGAGAATACAAAGCCGAAACCTTGAAACGAATGGAAGCCTGAATTTCAGTGAAATCGATATCGAATATTTTTGGAAGAGTGATAAAATAGTCCCAACGTTTGTTTTTTTTTTTTTTTGTACACACGGTGCTAATTGCGTCGAAGGCCATCGTACTTTACTAATCGGAGGATCTATTAGTACGCGATGACCCGATTGCAGTGAAATATTTGAAATTTAGAATGTTTACGGCCATTGCTCTTATGAACAACGTATAAAATATTTCAATTGTATGATATGGAACCCTTCACATTGAATACCATTTTTCAGGAATTGATACATATTTTTCAGAAATGAATAAATTTAATGTATACATACATGTATATCTATAAGATAGCCCGTTGGAAACATTTGTGAAACTCGGATAAATTTTAACATTTGTTTAAAAAAAAATTCCTGCTTCGAAAAATTCCGTAAGGAGATAAAGTTTTAGTGAGTCTGATGTAATATAATTTAAGAAGTTACATAACAACCATATCAGCAAAGATAATGGTATCAGTTTTCCTTTTAGTAGCATTAAAATTCTGATATGTTTTTTAGTTTCGCAGATATCAGTACTGAGAAATTGAATTTGATTAATGTCCACCTCCTGATGAGTGTACGACAAATTATTCAAAGAGAATAGACAGAAATTAACATTAAAACACTGTTGTTTTTATACAGAAAAGATTAACATTTTACTAGCCGCACACTTATCGTAAACTACACAAGATAACACGGTTTTACTCAAACTTTCATAACTTGTGCGATATATGTACAATGTATCAATGATATGGCATTTTTAAATTACGCTAATCGTGACTGTAGAATCATGCAAGGACTCTTTAATGGTTATAATTAAACTGTGAATCTTTATGCACAATCAAATCTTAGCAAACGTACCTACAAAAGCTATAACTCGCTATTGAAACATTATACAGGGTGTCCCAAAAGTCGGGGAGGAGCCGGAAATGGGGGGTAGCTGAGACGATTCTGAACAAAAATTTCCTTTGCAAAAATGTCGGATAGGGCTTCGTTAAGGAGATATTAAGCGAAAACCCTGACCAATCAGAGCGCGCGTATACCGCTGGAGCGGCCGCGATAGCGATGGCTACGCGCTAGGCGGCAGCGCTTGTACGCGAACAAGTGACTCGACGTGCATCGAAGGACATTGACGCTGCCGCCTAGCGCGTAGCC